GAGAATCTGGGGACTAAGAATGAACATGGGGTGGTGGTGAAGTAAAAAAGAACTGGGTGGTGGTACAGGAGACAATGGGTTTGTCTAGGTGAGGCTTCATTCTATAAATTGTTTGAAGTAAACAAGACCCTTCTAAGTGCAGATTCCACATCTGCTGCCTTTTCAGTCCTCTCAAAAAACTATAGCTGTTGAGAGATGTGTAGACAGTTTTGTGTTGCTTGGGGGTTTATTTCCCCTACACTCCTGTGGATACTTTTTTTAAAAAAATAATTCCCTCCCTATGGAGCAGATTATTGGTAAGTTTAGCTCTTAGCAGAGTGTTTTACTGCATGCAAAACACATTTGTGTGGATCCAGTCAAACAGAGCAAGATAGTCTCTTGTTGTAATGCATCAGGGAGACAGTAATGGCTCCGGAAGAAAAGATTTGTTCTACACTTGCACCTATTCAAGATCACTTCCTTATTAAAGAGACTAATTACTGTCTCTGAGGACATGAAAGTGAAAGAAAGGAGGCTTGGCTTTGTGGCATGTAATTCTTTTTTTAAAATACTGCTCTTAATACTTTTCTTTGCAAAGTTAAGGGGGGGGGCTCTCAATGTATCCTCAAAAAATTGGATATATGCATATAAGTAGACTCAGATTGACAGGTAATAATCACAAACTTGAATTTAAACATTTGATTTCATACATGAAATGTGGGCAGGTCCATTGGTGTGTATGCATATCTGTGTAAACTGTACAAGGCTGGACATTCTTTCAAACTCCTGTTGTGCCTTATCGGATACTTTTGATATCAGGGTAGGTGGTCATCTGTACAGCACACAAAATTAAATCCTGAAACACTTTCCTAAAGATGTTAAGACGTGAAAATATACCTAATAAAATATACCTATGTAATATGTCATTAATAAATACTGCAGAAAGAAATTCTCATATATCCATTCCTATTAAATGCTTGTCTAAGCAGGAAACTTGTGATATGTCTTCTGGAAGGAATTCTGGCTTTATTGAACCTCAAGAAGGACATATGCAGCTAGGAAACTACCAGCAAGAAGGTATCACCTCTTGTCCTCTTTTTAAGGTTAGTTCATAAGTTAGTGATGCGAAATCTTTGGCCCTCCAGATATTTTTGGACTATAAGCTTTCACAATCCCTTATCATAAGACATTACCCCCAGATTTGTAAGCCAAAGGATCTAGGGGGAGAATATGTTCCCCAACTCTAGCATGAACAATATGTTTGAAAGGTGCTCTGAAAGTGCTGTCTGTCAGTCTTGGAATTATAGAACCATAGAATTGGAAGAGATCACTAGGGCCATCCAGTCCAGCCTCCTCGATAAATGTGGGACAGTGTTTTAAGATGTGAAAGGCCCAGGTCAGGCAGTCTTTCTAGGTGAGAAGCAGGACTTGAAATTTTGTCCATAAGGTTGCTCACTCCAATTTGGACATTGTATAGGTACTAGAAGATTCAAACCACATGTTTGAACTGAAAGCTAAATGACTGAATGAGTGACACTTTAAAGAAATGTGTTTATAAGGCTGTGAAAGTAAAAAAAATGAAGTCTTTTCTAGTTACACTCAGTATCCCTTAATAAGGCTTTTAATGCAAGACATTGAATGTGGATTTTTTGTCCCTCATCTGTCACACTTTTGTTACACTTCTTAGTTGCATGTAAGCAATGCAGTCTCCTCAGTGTGTTTTCTATTTGGTTTTTTGTTTCCAGGTGCCATTTCATCATCATCAGTGTTTTGTTTGTTGTATCCATAACAATCATTTCAGTACTGTAAAAGTCAATAATCCTGCTTTTTTTGCTTGCCTAGAGACATGGTTCTTTGACCTTTCTGAGCTCAGGAGACCTTCCATGAAGCTTGGTTGTCTGTCTTAGCTCAGGTGAACTGCTGATGTACAAGAATTCCCAGTTTCACAACCTATGTACACATTTCAGATGGTAGCTTTAGGTGTTAGAATTGTAGTCTGAACATTCTGATGTTTCATAAAGATCACTTGTGTTAGTTTTCTGTCTCTTTTCCAACAGATCTTTACATAGTACACAATTTTAAAAAGTCATCTTGAAAGCATCGAAAGTTCTATATAGATTAGTCTGCCCATATGTTTTTTAGTTCAGCAAGTTTTATTCCCTGTGGTGATTCAAACATTTGAAAACCTCATCCTAGAGGCATCCTTCTGAAAAGAGAGGGCTCTAGCATTCAGAGAGTGAAATGGCCGTGCTTTGTATAGACTTTCTTCCTCTGTGTAGCCTTTAAAAATATTTTTTAAATTATTTTAAATTTTTATTTTTAAAATATTTTCCTCTGTTGCCTTTCAACAGAAGTTCACAGAGCAGTTTAAAGAATGAAATGAAAACCATTTATTTTTAATGGGATCCAAATATCCATCACCCTCTCCCCATTGCTTTTGTTTCATTATTTCCAGTCTGATGCCCTCCCCAATTCTATAGCACATCCAGAAGACAGCATTAATGAAAAATTAGCAGGTAGCACTTTTACTTCAACATCCTCAGAATTTCACAAGTGTACACATGTTGTAAGGGACTGTTGTCTTGCTTGTCTGTGGTAATACGCAAAGTGGCCTGTACATGGGTGATTCTTTACTATCTGTATTACTGATTTTCCAGATTTGAGTTTCTCCTCCTAAATGGCTTCCTGAGCTTTCCTGAGGTTTAGAAGACTTCTTTGGAAACTTTTGCTGGCATGCCAAGAATCAAGTTGTAAGAGAGTGAATGAGTAATAATTAGCTCAGTGGCAGGGAATGAGACGTTGGGGGAAGGAGAGAGATTGAAAGTGGATTTTTGCGCTCCTGTGAAGTCTCAGGATTGGCACTATGCAGGTCTTTTTCAGAAGGCATAAGGAGGAGTATATTCTGAAATACCTAGCTGCTATTGTAGTGTTTGAATATGACAAATATGTGATGGGTGTATATAAGTGCACCTAGATATGAGAGAGGTAACATGATGCCCTTCAGATGTTTTCGGCTGCCATGTCCGTAAGCCCCAGCCACTATGCTAAATAACTCAGTAGTTATAGGAATAATATCCTTAATATCTTTCCTACCACTTGTTTAAGTGATCCATTTGATCTTATCACAGCTAGAGGAAGATTAGGCAAGAAAATGATTTGAGTCCATGCATCTCCTACTTAATAAATGTTGGGTTTTGTTCTTCTGAGAGAGAATTGTAGGAAAGTTCCATGGCTTATGAGGCCTCGTATCTGGGAATATCTCACAGGTGGCTTTCTTTAGGATTGTAGCTGATTATTATTATATTATATTATTATATTATATTATATTATATTATATTATATTATATTATATTATATTTATAATGTCCTGCCTTTTCCCCAGCTTGGGAGTCAAGGTGGCTTACAGCAGAGTAAAAAAAAAGTTAAATTCACAAAATACAAAAGTTAAAAACATAAACCATTAAAGCAGAAAATCCAGCAGATTACTTAGGTGGGACAGGCCTTGTACAATCATGCTTCAAAGGCCTGTCAAAGAGAAAGAGAGAGGTCTTCACCTGGGCAGCCACTATCTTCCCACCAGATGTACCTGTGATGGTGGTGGGACAGAGACAAAGGCCTCTCCAGCAGATTTCAAAACATAAGTAGGTTCTTGCAGTTGATATCACTAAGGATCAACATTTTCAGCACTAAGGATTGTGCAGTTGTTTTCATCCCATGTTTTAATTCTGGGTCACGATGTGCCTGAAGTGTTGGCTTCCAGTCCTTCATCTTCCACCACCTTCTCTGTCTGTCCTCTTCTCTTTCCTTATGGCAAGTGGTGTGTATGTGTGGAGGTGCTGTTTCTTGTCTTGGTTCATACATCTGAATGACAACAGCTGGCCACCTTATTGTTGCCATAGGCTGCATTACATGATTCCACAGGTGAGATGATGTGCAGTGAAAGGAGATGCAATAGGAATACTTTAAAACATCATAAATATTCCATGCAGAGGTGAGAATGTCTGGTGAGTCCCTCTATCAGTCTTCCTAAGGTGAAAGGTTGGTATACATGGATCTCTCTGTTACAAGAATGACTTCAGAAGGAACTCTGGCTCAGTGGTAGAGTGCTTGCTTTTTGTGAAAAAGCCCCAAGTTCACTTTCCACATAAAAAATCTACAGGGCTGTCAAAGACTTTATGCTTCTACCACTCAGAGTAGACAGAATAGGGCTGAACAACTAAGCATAAGGCAGTTTTATGTGCGCATGGTTGTAATTCATAAGTATACCAAATATATGTGCAAAGGAAACTGTCCCTCCTCATCTCATTAATTGGATTGGCACAAAGGAGCACAACCAACCTATACAGCATTTTCCAACTGCCACACCAGAGGAGTTTCCTTGTTTATTTCTTTCAAATTTGTATGCCCAAAACATCTTGTAGCTAAGTTGACAAAGAAAATGTCTCCTAGTGAGGACTTTTTGAAGCCTGAATTTATGTTTGCTTTTGACCAAAATATTGTTACAACCGTTTGATATTGGGTAGTTACAATAATGAGAAAGCTGTCATTCTTAACGTACAGTACTGTTTAAACAAACCTTTTATTCAGTTAAAGCTTTGTTAAGTAGTTTCCTTTGTTTCTTGCAACCAGGTTGGAACAGCTGTGAACATAATCTTTAAGGCAGCATGGGGTAGACGTATTTCTTCCATGGAATAGAAGTATTTTTCCCCAAAAAGTATGCAATAATTGAATAATACAGGTGATTGAACATTGCTGGTGTGGCTGTGTGAGCGAAAGGCTTATGCACATGATTTTGGGAAGGAGGAAGGGAGGCCCTAGATTTCAACTGAGGTGACTAGAACTTGCCATAGATCTGCGTTTTTTATTGCTGTTGTATGCCTTCACGTTGTTTCCAACATTTGGCTATCCTCAGGGAAACCTATCACTGGGTTTTCTTGGCAAGATTTGTTCAAAGAGGGTTTGCTTTGCCTTCCTCTGAGTTTCAGAGAGTGTGACTTGCTCAAGGTCACCTTGGGTTTCCCTGGCTCAGCAGGGATTCAAACCCTGGTCTCCAGAGTCATAGCCCAGAGTCATAACCATTATATCACACTGGCTTGTCTTCTGTTTTTGATTATAGGAGGGAATTTCCTCAGTTTACTGTGTGGGTGCTTACAGCACAGCTCTGCTGTATCTCTTGGATTCCTGAGCCTTGGAGTGTTCTTTCTCTCTTGTGCTTGGGGCCATAGACCACTCCCAGATGTATGTATAATGTATAGGTAAGCTTTCATAGTATGCAAACACTCAGATATGGTAAGAACAGCTTAACATACCTGTATCCTATTAGCCCTGACATTTTCCCTCTTTTTCACATCATTCACTACCTCCAACTGAATTTTTCCTTCAAAGTTCCTTCTGCCCCAGTACCTTATCTCTATTTTTTGTTTCTTCTAAAGTAATAACATCCAAGTTTTTCATTTCAGCCATTAATGTCACCTTTTGATGCCATACTCACTCTGGACTACACCCCATATTCATCACACACTAACATTGTTGGAAAGGTAGTCTGTTGAAAGCTGCCTTGAATTTCAAATTTCTCTCTATAACTCAAGGAAGGAGACAGAGATGAAAGATGGTTTGATCCTGATATTTGTTTCAGATATCCTTGCAATACTAAGCTTGGTTTCCAAAACCACTTCTACCATGGCTTTTCAGAGCCTTGTGGCTTACCTTAAAATGATGATTTGACATTTGTGCATTGCACTTGTTTTCCTATGGTTATTTGTTCATATCAACAACTTATTCACACTATAGTGGGCCCTTGGTATAAAAAATACGTTCAGTGGCTTAAATCCATGGATAAAGAATCTGTGGAGGGTCAAGTGTACTGAGTTACCTAAAAGGTTATCTACTCTGTAACAGGTATAGTTTTTCTGCTTCTTACTCGATAATTCCTGGTTTTCTTGGGCTAAGTGGAGGGAGTTTTGATCTCAACAAAAACACAAGGGCTTTCTTTCAGATAGTGGTGCTACATTATCAGCTGCACAGTAAATTAGTATGTCATTTATTTTACTTAATCCTGAATTTATCTCTGGGCACATTAGCAAGTAATTATCCAAACTTGTTAAAACTTGAAAGTCATTTTGGTTTCTTTTAAAACCCTCCACCATCAACTAATAGCTACATCTATCAGCAGCTGAGTGACAGCAATGATAATTTAAAAACTGAATGTAATTATGCTAGGGCTTTATTGTTTGAAACTTAGAGTAATCTTTCATTTATGATGTTGAACAGTTCTGGGACTGCCTTAAAAATATGTAAAGGGATACTGTCCGTCCTGGTGGAAAATCCATGATATTGTCTAATGTGGCATAACTTCCCAGTAACAACTGATCTTAAAAGGAACTTGGTAGTTTGCAGTTGCCAGGAAGATAAGGATTGTCTGCCACCTCCTAAAAAGTCAGTGGTTATTGGTATGTTAAAACCTCCATTTGTATGACTAAAATTGGCAGCTCTAAGACATTTAACTCTCCAAGTGCAAAAAAAAAATTCCACCAAACAGTGATAGCTTTATTGGCCAACCGAAATGCACAATATAATTTTTGCAAGCTTTTGAAGCTCCACAGGCTTCTTCATCAGGCAAGATGTTACAAATCAAAACAGGAGAAAAATTGGAGATATGAGTAAGATGCCTGCATTTTGATGTTTCTGTCTTTAGCTAAGATGGTATAGGGTGGATATCTTTTGCAGACTGGCTCCTCCTCCTTCTGGCCAAGTGGCGATTAGGGGATTTTCAAAGTCCAGGAAATTTAAAGTCTATCTGCATATCAACAAGGACTCCTCTCTTGCAATCCAATCTGTCTCCATTCCTGTAAGACAGGCCTCTTTGTAGGCAGAGGACAATGGATTTCCCAAAATGCAGGTGTGTGGGTGTGTGAGAGAGAGGGAGAGGGAGAGGGAGAGGGAGAGGGAGATATCCTTAGTTGAGAGAAGGTGATTTACATGTTAATCTTTGTGTTGTTCTGTTGTTGTGTCTATTTAATTAGTGATCCATTGTCTGCTGGGAAAACCCCTGACCCTGGGTAGTTTTCATTGGCACATGCTGGTTCTTGATTTTGGTGTTTTTCAGGACTGGCAGCCAGACTTTGTTTACTTTAAAGGTTTCTTCTTTCCTGTTGAAATTGTCTAGATGTTTGTGGATTTCACTGTTTCTGTCTTGCATAGGGGTTAAACAGACCGCCCCTTTGAAGTGGCACCCCGGCAGCCCATTCAGCACCAGATTGGGGCTGCAGCAACCACATGCCATGGCCTGATCCAACGTATTATGAGCCTAAAAAGGAGCAGCAAAATGCCGCTCCTTTTTAAAAGGGGGAAGTGTGCCTTTGCCACTGCAGTGGCACTTTCCTCCCAATTGTTCAGTGCAGCGTGTTTAAATACTGCACCAAAGAAGCAGTGTGGCATTGCCCACCATCTGATCAGGTGGGCGGTATGACACTGGCATTGGGGTGTCATTGGGGCATGCTGTATGCAGTCGCCACATCCCCACTCTGCCCAAATGCCAGCATTTAGCGTCAGTCTGTTCAGGACCATAGTCACTGTTTCTGTCTTACTTTCTCTCTTGATGATCTAGAATTGTGTCAAATGCATCTTTGCCCCTCTCGATTAGATTTAGTGTGTTACAAATTGTTATCAAGGTGGCTAATACAACATGTATAGTAGGAAAGGGGCAAAAGCAACATTTATAGCAAAGCAACAGATCTTCCACTGATCCAGTTGCTTGTAGTTTTAGCAGAATATGGATAGAGAAGTGCCCTCCGACATGCTGGAAAGTCCTATGGCATTGACCAGTAAGTACTGTACTGTAAAGCTCTTTCAGTTCTTGTTTCAGGAGAAAGGAGGGATATAAATTAAATAAGTATTTCTTTAACAAAATAACCACCAGTGACAATTGCATAGACAAACCTAGCTATGTAGTGTCCTGTTCATCATATCATCCCTGCTTTGTTAATCTTGCACAGCGAAAAAACTTCTCAAGAAGGACCCAAGGAATGAGCAAGGTGTCACAGTGTTAATCTCTGGAATCCAGTGCAGATAATTTGGAACATGAGAAGTTCCTCATTCCAAACAGTTCCTTCCTTAAATCTGAGAAATTGGTGGTTGAACAGCTGAGAGGTTCCCAGAGACATTGAAGGGAGATGCCTTTGCCATTTGAGATCTGAGCAAAGGGACAAGGAAAAACTCCATTGGCACTGCCAGGTAAATAGAAGATGCTGACTAATCAACCATCTGGTATCCAGGAGCAAACACCTATAAATCTCCCAGCAACTGCAGGGAATCTCTGTTGTTCATAACTGTCCAGCATCTTTGACTGGTCACACTCTTCCAGGCATTCTTGACACCTTAGACTGGCTCTGTTTAATAACCTCTTGTCTCATCCCTTTTTGGCTTTTGATACCTGGACTTCTGGCTTTGTGGAATGACTGACAAGGACCTTGCCACAGCATCGCTTTTCATCTTTTTATATTAACTTTGCATGACTTGGACTGGATTGTCTTCCCTGTAGCTGCTTCCCTTAAGTGATTCTCTCCCTTTGGACACGATGCCTGTTGGCATAGAACATAATGTTTGGAATGTTGTTTTTTAAAGTAGTTCATTTGTTAGGTTTTTTAAAAAAAAATACACTTGAAATATAGAAATGACCCTACATACCTCAAAATATCCCCTTGCAAAACACCACATTGCTAGTTACACTAAAGAACTGATACTGTTAACAGTTGTTCCATAATTTTTAAAAATATATAACCTCCTCAAAACATAACAGGTTGAAGAAGTGTTACTTGTTGTGCATTACTTCGAAGCTCTGCCACTGATAAGGCTCTGTGATTGTAGGTAAGTGCTGTTGTCGATTTCGAATTAGGGCAACCCTATAAGTGAGAGACTTTCAGGTCACCCTATCATTGACAACCCTGCTCAGATCTTGCAGACTCTGGGCTGTGGCTTCTTTCATTCAGTCTCTCCATCTATATAATATGGTCTTCTTTTTCTGCTGCCTCCTACCTTACCAAGCATTGTCTTTTCTAGAGAGCCATGTCTTCTCATGATATGTCCAGAGTACAACAGAGTTTAGTCATCTTGCCTTCCAGATAAAGTTCAGGCTTGATTTTCTCTAGGACCCATTTATTTTTCTTTTTTTAGTAGTCCACAGTATCCGTACAAGTCTTCTCTAGCATCACATTTCAAATGGGTCAGTTTTCTTCCTGTCAGTTTTCTTCACCTCACAACAATACATAGAAATCGAAAATATAATGGCATGGGCAATCCTCACTTTGATATTCAATGATCTATTTTTATACTTAACTAGTTCCTTCATATCTGGCCTTCCAAGTCCTAATCTTTTGATTTCTTGACTGCAATCTCCATTCTGTATAATGACTGAGCTAAGGTATGGAAAATCTTAAATTATTTCAAGTGTCTTCATTGTTTACTTAAAAGTTATGAGTATGTAAACCATGTGTGGTCAGAAAAGGCATGCAGGAGCATAAAGTTGAATTCATATCAGTTATTTCAAGTGGCTGAAGTAGAAGCTCCGCAAAACTGTGCTGCAGTGCTAATTTTTTGCATAATATCTTCTATATCATTTGTTAACCCAGGGAAAACTACCCTTTGCCTAGCTTCATGATGGTGGCCTTTTTTACCGAGTGTTTTACCAAGCAAATATTTTGCACAGCATTTTGCTTCTGGCACCAGCATCTTTCAGAATGTAGTTTGGAAATAAGTTTTGCTGCATTATTCAGTTATACGTATTCTGATGTTCTTGTTTGTAATGAAATATTTAAATAAGTTTTCACAGGAAAAGATAGTTTCAGCTAACTCGCAACATTTGCAGGATACATTTTGTCTCACTTTGCCGTTTCTGCAGAGAAATTCTTTTTCCATTCTGTCATACCTTTTCTATAACTTCTGCAGTTCACTATGCCAGATTCACTGAGATGACTGAGCAAGGCAGCATAATTTGTGTGGCATGAAGATGTTCTCAGGCAGCACAGATGGTTTCATTCAGGTGGAGGTTATTTTGTGCTGTCACACACGCTGAGTGAGTTCACTGGCCAGTATTAGT